CCCCCCCCCCCCCCGCCAAGTCCCGACCCAAACTCATCACCCCACCTACGTCAATTGCACCTCGTAAGCAGAAGTGAAACTCAACAAAAGTACCAAATAAGAAGTGGACATACTTGAATGCCTTTTATAAGAGTGTAATGGCAGTGTGGTATAGGAGTGTGATGGCATTGCAAATAGAAAAATAAAAAATATACAAAAGTTGAGGGGTCAACCGCCGGTGGACCACCAGTCAATTATGGTCAACAGTGGTCAATGTTAGCGACAGTGCTCTAACAGGCAACAACCTCACGATAGCGGATGGCGGTGCTCCGATGACCTCACAATGATGGACGGCAGCGCTCTGGAGATCTCACGATGGCGGAAGGGGCAGATGGAGATGTGGGGCGGCATATGGTAGTGTGACAACGGTTGACAATGGCAGTGTGGACTCTTATTTAAGTCTTAAAATACTAGTACTCCTATCTTGGGATTTTCATACTCATTTACTCCTATTTAGGGATTTTCCCCTTTGAAAACTGCATGGAGATTAAGGGTGAAAGGAAAATTATCTAAATGCTCATAACTACTTTTTTAGAATTTAGTAAAAGAGAAAAGGATAGTAAATACAAAATTGCAATTTGACCTGCATTATCAATTGGTACAAAATGTTGGGTGGCCTAAGGAGGCAATATTCGTTAAAATGAAGGTAACTAAAGTATGTTACGATGGGTGTGTAAGAATGATTAGAATAACGAATGAGATCATCCAAAAGAAAGTAGAAGTGACATCTATTGAAAACAAATTGAGAGAAGCAATCATGGTGAGACGGACACACAGAAGATGTAGTGATACACCATTTAGAAACTTGATGGAGAAATGAATATTGCACAAGGCGAAAGAAAGTAGAACTGACATCTACTGAAGACAAAATGAGAGAAGCAACTGTGGTGGTACGGACACATACAAAGAAGACATAGTCATACACCACTCAGAAAACTTGAGGGGTGGAGAAATGAATATTGCAATTTGCAAAAGAGGATGAGGGAGACCTCAAAAGATGCGGGATGAGGTGATTAGGAGTGATTTGTCTTATCTGAATTTTGGCAAAAGCATAGCTATGGATAGAAGGAAGAAGGCAAGAGAGCATTTTTTTAAATGATGATATATAATTCTCCTCTTGCCTTCTTGGTTCATTTTGCCGACCCCAGGTTACTTGGGATAACTTTTAGTTATTTTCATAACAATAGCTATTTATTAAATCGAATACCATATTAAACACTTGATTTACAAATACGGAGTATGACAATTTGAACTGCATAGGCTATTAATTTCGTATGAGTGGTCAAGTAATATGCAATTGTAAACAATTATTGTAGTAGCTTAGTGTCTTAGACTACTTATGTAAATTTTCATATACATATGTTTGTATAAACATATCAATTGGATGGTAAGTTCTTATTGGAGGATCTTTATATCCAGGTCTGCTGAAGATGCCAATGTGTTTCTTGTCAACGATTTTCAGGATCCCCTGCAGGTGATTATTGATGTTTACTAGTTATTTGCCATATTTTCGAAGTAATCTAAAACTATGGGGCTTTAAGATACCTCATGCATGATTATGTCTCATATTTCACATAAAGCTTTGGTTTTCAATTTTTCATTTCACAGAGAACACTCTCTTCCCTGGAGCTCTCTCGAGCTGTATCTGTAGCAGGTACTCCAAATTTTAATGATGCTGCTAGAGATGCACTATCCAGCGAGATTGATGGGGAAAATTCTGATAAGACATACGTGCATGCCCAACAAAGCTTGAGGCCAAGGCAAAAGCATAATGACCCTGCTCGAGATCTGTCAATTAATGTACTAGAGAAATTCTCACTTGTAACTAGATTTGCGCGTGAAGCAACATCTCAACTTTTCCATGAAACTTACAGTGATAGTTTCATATCTAATGAGAGAAAGAAGACTGATCAGCATAGGATTGATTATCCTCATACAACATCAGATGTTTCACAGAACGTTATTGAAGTTGTTCCTGTACCAACAGACCCTGTGGAGGTAACTACTGCACTCTTCTGATATTCATACTCTGATTTTTGGTTTCCTTCATCAGGTCGTGTTGTATGATGGGAATTAGTTCGTACGTGTATCAAGTCAAGAAAATTGAAATTGTTTGGCATTGACAATGTGTATATTCTTACTCTATTTTCAAATGCTTTTATTATTCTTTAAGTTGTGGATTAAAGAAATAGATGTGTACTGTCCAAGTTTTTGCATCAAATGAGGATTGATCTTTAGGGTGTTGTCAGCAACAAGAGTTTTGTGCCAATGGAAGAAGATAATAATGACGTATAGAGTAGTAAATTTATTTCCTCATTAGTAGCTTAAGTTTTAGTTGAAGATTTGAGGTAAAACTCTTTATTATGGTATTTAAATCTGAATACAAAAAAGAACCATGTGACTATGTGAGTGACTTATCTAGTTCATGTTATGGTATGTTATTTACTCTTTTTTTATATTCACTGTAATTATTCACATACTACTCATAATCTCATATTATGCCACAAGCATTTTTGCTACTAAACATTCATGTCTTCAATTGCTCTCTCTCTAATATTTCCTAGATAATGCTTCCCTTCCCTCTTTTTGGTGATTGTTCTATTGTTTTTCATTTTAAATGAAAAATATATGTGTAGATTGGATGCATTTAAATTTATTTATTATATCAGTATGTTACCCAAAACCTCTCAAATGTATATTTGCATCATTTGATGGGCAATATATAGTTTTGAATTTAGGACTTGTGATCTAGTTTTGCCTCAATTTCTCTGTACCTTACTCTTCAGTTTTAACTTATGTTTTATTTAATTTTGTTTATTTTGTAGATTGACAAATTGTCACTAGTATGGGGCAAACCACGACAGCCTCCCTTGAGGTCCGAAGAGGTGAATGATCTTTCCCACCTCTTAAAAGGGAAGCATTCCGAACTGCATGACATTGAAACTGGTGTTAACTTATCTTCATATGGATCAATTTGGTTCAAGAATGAAAAAAACCATTTGTATTTATTCATATGCAAGTAGGTAGTTGACGACTTACCGAAATAATCTTGCAAATTTATTCTTGAGACTAGTACCCTATTATGTTTTATGGATTCTTTTAGTGAGGCATAAGTGCATAACTTGATTAACTTCCCTTGGCGTGGTTGATTTATGTCCATATATTCTGTATCATGTTTTCCTATATTCTTGGTCACAACTTCTAGAGGTGCAACTGAAACTATCACTATATGGAACATATACCATTTTACATTATATTATTATCCTTTCATAAATGTGTGGATCTTTGCCAGATTTGACCTATCCAACTACTTAGCAGAGGTTTATGATTTCTACTCAACGTATAAAATATTAAAGAATGCCTAGCCTAAGAATTGTTGGACTCTGATATTAGATTATAAGTATTTTCCCTAAATCCATTTTATTTTTTAGTGGGACGCGTTCTTTGATTCTGAAGGAAGAGTCTTGGATCCTGAAGCTTTGAGAAAGAGGGTATTTTATGGCGGAGTTGAACATAGTCTCAGGAAAGAGGTTTTAATCTGTTCTCTATTTTGCTCCCCTCACCCCAACTAGATGTTTTTCTGATCTGTATAGGGATGTAAACGAAACGAATAATTTTGGCTTGATACGTAATTCGTACTCGAATATGATGTTTTTAATGCAAATATTTCAAATATTAATACAAATGATATTTGCATATGTCTATTTCAAATATAAATACAAATCATATTCTAATACAAATATTTCAAATACAAATCAAATTCAAATACGGAAATATATATTTGCTCAAAATGAGTATTCCAACAAACTAATCTAATAATATGAGCATTTAATTTTTTTGTGCATTGTTTCATCAAGTTAAATTACTAAAATGTATATTATTTTTAATACTTATACGCTAGTACTCTACGAACATAAATTTTGTTTGGACCAAATGCATTAATACACATCTCATTAAAATTTGTTTGATAATCGGATTCAAATTCATATTTGGAAAATTAGATGTATACAAATTTAAAATTTGATATTTTGGAATCGGTTCGGTTCATTTACAACCTTAGATCTGTAACTGAAGATAATTGTAGTATCTTTTGTTGTTGCAGGTCTGGGCATTCCTGTTAGGTCATCATTCATACGATTCAACTTATGCAGAAAGGGAATATCTTGTTGCAGTTAAAAAGTCAGAGTATGAAACAATTAAACTCCAATGGAAGGTTTGTTATTCTTTGCGTGAATTCATGCATACTCTTGCATAACTGGTACTCCCTTCATTTCTAAATAAACTTCAAATTGTATTTTTGCACGGACTTTGCCTGGTTGAGTATTGATATCTATAGCAAACATTGAATACTGTGTGCTTTTAAATATTCTTGTAGCATTTGCTTTTGCTTTTTTTTTCATTTATTTAATTCTCATTCTGCTTCCAAAATAGAACCGATTATGGCTTCTTGTTTTGTATATAATGATTTCTTGGTGGATAGACCATAAAACTGCTGGCTATATAAATGTTATTCATGTATATCTTATGCAGAGTATTTCAAGAGAGCAGGCAAAAAGATTTACAAAATTCCGGGAAAGGAAAGGCCTTATTGAGAAAGATGTGGTATGATTTAATTTTTTTTCCTTGTCACACAAAAATATTGGTAAAGAAGTAAATACTCCGTATTATTTATTTTTTAATTCCATGGATGTTACATATTCTTACTAGGCAGTTCTACTAGACTACTACCACTACTACCAGTAAACTACTGTTCTTGTTACTGTTCCTATTGCTTAAAAGTATCTTAATGATTATGGTAATGGTGTGATACTAGTTTTTTTATTGGCCAAAGGAATAAAATGAGTTATCCTTCTCTTTGGATTTTAAGGTGAGGACTGATAGGACACACTCATTCTATGACGGGGACGAGAATCTTAATGTGAATCTTTTACATGATATACTGCTGACATACTCATTCTACAACTTCGATTTAGGTTACTGTCAGGTAATTAAGCTCCTGTTTTACACTTTTACCTTCTCAGCTTTTACTTTCCGAAGAATGCCTTAAGTTTGAGCTAAACATGCGGAGTATGTGATATCACAGATCTGTTGTTCTCTCAACTAGTGTGTGATATCTTGCCAAATGCCGCCTCAAGTTTAAACTTTCAGCAATCTAATGTTTTTGCTTACATACAGATCTGTTTTCTCTCATGATTCTGTTTTTTTTCTCACTCGCAACTTATAGCATTTATTGTTACTTTGTAGGGTATGAGTGATCTTCTATCTCCAATATTATATGTAATGGACGATGAATCAGAATCATTTTGGTGCTTTGTTGCGCTAATGGAGCGACTTGGACCCAATTTTAACCGTGACCAAAATGGAATGCATTCGCAGCTTTTTGCATTATCAAAGGTTGTCTCTCCCCAAATGATTCCTGATTAATTCTGACCAACTTTGTGTGTGTGTTTGTGTCTGTGTGCAATCTAGGCTGTTGCATTAATCTCCATTTAGTATATGTATCTTTTTGTTTTTACCTCTCAACAGTTCATTTCTCATTTCATCATTGGTTTGCTTGATAGATTCATGCTCAAGTTTATGATGAGTTTTTGCTTGAATTACTACAGCTGGTGGAGTTGCTAGATAGCCCATTGCACAATTACTTTAACCAGAAGGATTGCTTGAATTACTTCTTCTGCTTTCGCTGGATACTCATACAATTTAAAAGGCAAGGAATACATTTTTCTGACTTCTTATATTACACTGTTTTTACCATTTATACGTGTTTCTTGTTTCTATTTGTTTTTTCAATGAGGAAGTAAATCAGTAAATGAATTCTTAATAGAGATTTAAGTAGCTATAAAAATGTTAATTGATAAATGAATTCGTATTGCTGTATCTGTAAGTGGTTACACTGGTTAGACAACCATCTTAGTATAACCTCAGGAACTCTCAAGTCTACTATCTTCACCCAAATGCTAGAATATGCTTGTAAAGCAAAATGCCCATTCTTGCTTGTCAAACATGCATTGAAATCATTGACAAAGACGATATCCGTCTCTAAACCATCATCATGTTTGTTTATTTTTGGTGGTGGAAAGTGGAATTTGATAATGAAGTTGACTCTTTAGTTGGAATTTGGAAATATACTTTTCCCTTTGAGAAAAGCCATTCTTTTAGAAAGACTTGCAAGACATTTACTCTCCTGCTCTAGTACAATTTACAGGCACACACCATTAAATTTGAAGAAAATCCTTTGCTTGCCTCTTTATTAATCAAAAAGCCCATTTGTTTTTTAGACTCCATGGTTGAGGTCTAATTTTGTTTTTGGTTCATTTTTTTAAAGGGAATTTGAGTTTGAGAAAACAATGCGGTTATGGGAGGTTCTGTGGACGCATTGGTTGAGTGAGCATCTTCACCTGTACATCTGTGTCGCTCTGCTGAAAAGGCATCGGAGCAAAATAATCGGGGAGCAGATGGATTTCGATACGCTATTGAAATTTATCAATGAGCTAAGCGGTCACATTGACCTTGACTCCACAATACGTGATGCCGAGGCTTTGTGTATATGTGCTGGGGAGAATGGAGCAGCTGCCATCCCTCCCGGGACTCCACCATCTTTACCCATCGATGCTGACGCTTCCATATACACTCAGCAGGATGACGATGACTCGGTACTGTAAATTATCCAATACTAATTATATTAATAACAACAACAACAATAATAATAATTGCGTGTTTTTTGTTGTACTGGGACGGACGACGCATAGTTCTATAGATGGACATTGTAGATCAATGAGTTTATAATAATTGCTCCCAGTGTATTAAATTGAAAGTTCTTTGAAACGAAATCATCCATTTGATCTCGTTAGTATAGAAAAATTGAAAATGTTCGTTTTTGACACTTGACATGACAGTAATATGGCCATGTTCTTAAAATTGATTTGTTTCTGACTGTTTTGTGGGTATTAATGCTATACAAGGCAAAAAGGTCCCCGACCAAGGCCAAACGTTTAAGTGTAGGCTTGGCCTAGAGTCTAAAAAGTTTTAGGGACTGTTTGTCAACTTCTGAATAGGTAAGTGCTGAACCAGTAAGAGGTCTAAACCATTAAGTGCTGAACCAGTAAGAGGTTTGAACCATTAAGAGCTAGTATATTGTTTAACTATTCAGAGGCAAATGTTTGATCAATTCAGATAAGAAGTCTTAACCATTCAGACTTTGTATAATACTTAACCATTCAGAGGCAAATGTCTGAACCATTCAGACATCTGAACCATTAAGAGGCTGAAACAAATAGTCTGAACTATTAAGTGCTGAACCATTCAGACATCTGAACCATTAAGAGGCTGAAACAAATAGTCTGAACTATTAAGTGCTGAACCATTCAGACATCTGAACCATTAAGAGGCTGAAACAAACAGTCCCTTAGTCTTCATACGAAGCACCCCATACTTCATACTCCCTTTGTCCCTATACTATTAGGGTGCATTTTTTAAAAAAATAGAGTAATTTTTCAAAAGAGTTTTTTTCTTCTAATAAGGTATTTTTCCAAATTATTTTTCAATAAGTAATAATTCTATGTGTGATCTTTTATAATTTAGACTTATTCTATAAATGACCCTTTACCAAAAATGTCTATTAAATGTAAGTCAAATAGAAGGAATTTTAGTATTTTTAATCATATAGATTTAAAGTATGTTCTCGAAATGCTCCTTTATAATCAAATATTTTTCCAAATTGATAATTTCTAAGTAATGTTTTTCTGAAATGGAGTCCATTAGCTTACTCGGGGTGGGTCCGTTCCTTTAGTAGTCACTCACTTAATATGAAAGGACAATTTTTAGGACTTATTCATAGTTCAGATGATGCGAAAATGCAAAAATACCTTTTATTTAATCGTCATTGAATAAGCATTTTTGACATAAGACTATTTAGGGAATACATTTTAATTAATTTGAGAAAAATACTTTATTAAAAATGATTGTTCTGGAAATATACTCAAAAATATATTAATAGATCGGTGGTGTATTCAATTAAGAATGTGTGTGATTGTTTTTGGATTTTAAAAGTTAGTAAGTATTAAATTGAGATTTTAAAAAGTCATTTAAAATCTGAGAATATTCAATTTAGATTTTAAAAAATTCATTTAAATTTTGAAAGTATTCAATTTAGATTTTAAAATGTCTCTCAAAATCTAATGATATTAAATAATCTATAGATTTTATTTTTTTTATTATATTTCGATTTTGATGGATTTTGAGGTTATTTTTCTAAACAAAATTCATTTTACAAATCTATGACAACCTCTAAAGATCTTAACAGATTTGGTTATCTGAAGCATGGATAACGAGTAAATTTTAGTAATGGTATCTGAACTTCAACTGGAATTTCGAAGTGGTACCTGAACTTCAAATCGTTTCATAAAAGTACTTGAACTTATATAATCCTTTCACTAAAAGTCCATTTACCCAGGTTGTCGCACCCCGACTCTGCTGCCGCTGCCGCCTCCTTTTCTCCTCCCTGCACTTGTCGAATGATCCGGTGTGAGGCTGCATGGGAATGATCGCCGTTCTGCAGCAGGAAATCCAACGGTGTGAGTGGTTGTTGGCGAAGGTGGAAGCACAGATCCAGCTCCTCAAGCCTCAAGCTGCTGTTGTTGTTGATCCAAATTCACATTAATTTCATTACAATGTCATAGTATTCATTGGCTGTTGTTTTAATTTTTCCTATTTTCATCTCTCTTTTTTTCTTTCATAAGAGAACCTTACAAGATCACAAAACGCGGCGGCGGCGTCCTTGGAGGCTGAAATCCGACAGGTGCAGGGAGGAGAAAAGGGGGCGGCGGCGGCAGAGTCGGGGTGCGACGGCGGCGGGGAGAGGATGACGGCGGCGGTGTTCAAGAGTGTGAGGGGAAGAAGAAGAAAAAAGAAATGGGATTAAATTGAAAATTTTAAAATATATAAAATTCTAATTTGGCCCAAATGACTGGAAGTTAACTTGGAAACGGGTAAATGGACTTTTAGTGAAAGGATTATGTAAGTTCAGCTGCTTTTATGAAAGGATTTGAAATTCAGGTACCACTTCGAAATTCCAGTTAAAGTTTAGGTACCCTGAACTTTGGGACCTTGCGCAAAGATAAAAAAAAGTCGGCTGATTTGCGATCGGCCTTGGATGGAAAGAGACAGAAACAGAAAAAGACTGGAAACACATGGGGACGAAGGACATAGGCTTGCCGGCAGGAACGGAGGAGGAGGAGAGAAAGAAAGAAAGAAATACGGAGGGACTGTATTTTTTGGGGGTAGAGGGGGGAGAAGGTATATGGTACAATTGGCTGTACAGAGAGATATGTACATCCGGGTAGTACTCATTTTGAAGTAAGTAGTACTCATTTTCGCATAATTATAACTGTTCATTTTGAAATAGCGTGGTAGTCATTTTGAAATAACTTAGTACTCATTTTCACACATTTGTTAAATAACGTAATACTCATTTTTAATCGGAAGACAGATCGGAATTAGTAAGACAGATCGGAATTAGTACAGATTCATAGCTTCACTGCCTATCGTGGATCGAAAATTGAAGTTGCCCAAGATCGCGAATCGGAAATCCAAGCAGCCTCCATTGTGGATCGGCCAAGTGGGCGCGCGAAATCAGATTCCACCAGTGACAGTTCTGTAGTCCTGCAAGAAGAGAGAGCAGAGGAAGCAGAGGGTTATGATGAAACACGCAAGAACGCCCGAAGAGGAGGTTCCAAGAAAATCTGGCGTGTTTGTCTTCGTCCCCAACTCCTCAACTCAAATCTGGATCCCGCCGGTGACGGTCCTCAACTCCTCCCCTTTCCTCCCCACCCAGTTCCGGATCTTCGCTCAAATTAAACGTACGGGAGAACCATACATCCGGTTGTATGATATAATTTGCAGAGGGGGGTAATATGTAAACATAATATTGAAGCCGAAGTAACGATCATAATCTGATTTGTTTGAAATTGTAATCGATCATAATCCTATTTGTTTTGTTTGAAACGGGCCGATTCAATGGGTCAACGGTTCCAAAATTCAAAATTACTACGGAGTATTTAAAAAATACTTGCATCTTTCTTGGTTTCTTCTATGTAAGTGTAACATTGTGTTTTTGTAATTTACATTATTGTTATTTTTGATAGGATTAAGCTATGTGTACTCAATGACGGATCCAGAAAAAATATTAAATGGGGGCGCCATACATTAGCTATAAAAACATGGTGGAGTTCGGAAAACGTCACTAGAATTTTTTTTCAAAGACAACTTGAAATTAAAAAAAGATTCATATCAAACAAGTATTCATAGTTCTTACAAAAAAAAAGTATTCAAATAGTGAAATTTACACTAAGTAGTAAAGTATTCCAAACTAGAAAAATTAAAAAAAAGATTAAATTAGGAGTAAAACATGAAGAGAGTATCAAAATAGGAGATCCAAGTTTTTTATCCCAAAATATGAGTACAATGACAATAATACCACTATATAGTACCAAAAAATACAATGAGATGCCACTCTACAGTGTCATAATGTCATAATGTAAATTTCTATTTAGAAACTCAAAACATGATATTCCTATTTTGAGAATAAATGCTATTTTTTCTCTTATTTTGAGTGCTTTCTTTAGAAAAATATACTTTGTACTTTACAAATTAGAGAATAACTTTATTTACTCCATAATTAGTATCATATTATAATATTTTATTTTCAAATTTATTTTTAAAAAAATTACTCTATAGATACATATATTCTTTAGTGCATCAATTTAAATCTTAGTTCAAATATGTTTATTAAAAAAATTACTCTCAATTCTATTTCACTACCTCCTTAACAATTTTATTGATTAATATATATTAAGATAAAAATAACCTGTTAAATTCAATTAAATAAACAACCTCATATCTTTTTTTCATGCAAATTAGTAGGAAATATTGCAAATAATATTTAACCTTACGGAATAAATAAAGCATGCATGAACCTAATTTTTGGATAAAAAAGGAAAATAACTCAATTTATCAAAAAGAAAATAAATAAATTATAAATGAGGCATGTGGACAATTCCCTACTAGGCACAAGTGCACAACTTACGATATATATATTTTTTGAAAATTTCATACTCCCTAATTGTGATGGATTTTCAGTTGGAGTTGCAAGTGGAGGGGGCATTTCATATTTTGCACTGGGGGGGGGGGGGGNAATATATGTATATCTATTAAAATGGAGTCAGTTCACTGGGGCAATTGCCCCCCCTAATCACCATATAGATCCGAGTCTACCCTAAAATTTATACCTCAATTTGTATCCCGCAGGTTTGCACCAATATTTTGTGTTGGTGTAAAACTAATTTTTGTTAATGCACCAATACTTTGTGTTTGTGTAAATTTTTGTTAACGCACCAACACTTGTGTCGGTGTAAACCATCAAAATGTTTGTGCATAACTGTGGTGTACAAATGGGTGGGGTATGTTTTTTGTGTAAGTGTAGCAAGGTCCTTTTTGATATTATTACTTTGTTTGATCATATGATGTATTTTCAGTATTGTGCTCATAATTTTGTCTTTGACAGCCACTGTGACACTATGATGGCTGATGACGGAACCAATTACTGGGGATGGTATAGTGGCGGCGAGAGATCATGGAGGCATCGCCCTTGAATGGGATGTTAGTTTTGTTTTGGGATTGTAGTTTATTTATTAGTTTAATAATTTATAAGAAAAGAAATTTTATTTTAAAAAATAATGAAGAGCATAAAACTCTTTATTATAAATTTTAAGCCCTATTTTCGTATAAATAATTGAAGTTCCAAATGTAATACTTCCCTTGTTTAGGAAACAACTTCTCACATTAACTTTTCACAATTTTTAATGCGAGTGAAAAATTGGAAGTTTATCAAATTATCTTTATAAAATTGGGTGGAATATTGGGTGAGGTGTAAAAGCTAAAAAAATAAGGATAGTTGTGATATTTCAAATGTTAAAAAGATAATAATAAAATTCTTAGACTAAAAACATCGGGCCCCAAAAAACATTTGGAAAGATTTTTTTCCAGCGGTAAAAGTATATTCGAAGTACAAACTATAAGAGCACTCGAAATTGTCGTTACGCCCGGGGCATTTTTGCTTGTTTTAACGCCAAATGTTTAACGGAAAAAGATGAGAAAATGTGTGGGTTCCTCCACTAAAAATAAAAAATTACATTCATGCCATAAGACTAAAAAAAAATATTTTTTACTCTTTATATTCACTCTCTTTTTAAAAAATAAAACATACACAAACACAATAGTTTTATTCTATATTTTGTTGTTTAATTTTTTTTAGTAATGTAATTTTGTTGTTTTTTAAATTTAATGTACTTTTTTATTGAATGTATTTTTTATTTAATAAACTATTTCGGTTTACAATATGTCATTACAACCTAGACGAGGAGATGCCTACGTACGAATAAATCGATGAAGAAAAGAAACGAAGAAACCACCAAGAAATCTAAAGTTGAGAGATTCACAATACACTAATGGTAGATTTGGTTGAAAATATTTTTAGTCGCTCGAATAATCAGTAATTTCTTCATAAGGTAATATAAATTTTATTTTGTTGTTGTTATTATTCAAATCTTATTTTATTAATGTACTTTTTTATTGTATTTTTTATTTAATGAATTATTGTCCTTTAAATTCAATTAATAAAAAGTTATTTATTTAATTTTAGAAGATGTGTATTTAAAAATGTAAAAAATAGAGGTTTGAAGTCCCTGTTTGAAGCACCGGGGCTTCAAACTCATTTCCAGTGAAATTTTGGTATACGTTAAAGCTGATATGACAGAGAGAGAATGTTTGAACCCCCGAGACTTCAAGACCATTACCAGTGCTTTAAAGCATGCTTTAGTCGTTTTAGTTAAGCATTTTTATTTTATTTAATGCATTTTTTTATTTTTCAAAAACACATACTCATTCATCTTGAAATTAACTTCTCATTTGATTTTTCATGAACTCCAATGCAACACTTTGACTACTAATGTCTCTATTTATTTATAAATATACATTTTAAATGTAACGCCCCAAAAATAAGTCAATCAGAATTAATTAATTAATTAATATTTAATTAATTACTGAGATGGACCCCAAAAATAATTGATTTATAAAGGTTGTCAATTAATTCTGAAAATTTTACTCTTGTGTAGAGTTTGATTGTCTGATCACAATGTTGCAAGCAGATTTTAATTTGAAGAAAGTTAGGTAAAAAAGTGTACCCTCATTGAGATCATTTTAATCCCAATAAGGAAAGAGTCGTGAGAATCACACTGAATAGTCGTCCCTACCACTGAGTGGAACGCGGAATAAAAGACAGCAACAAACCTTGACTTCATCCTCCACCATCTCTCTATATAAGGAAACTTAATCTTTCTCATTTCTTCACCAAATTCTTCCATTCTTCTTCCATTTTGTTCCTTGTTGTGTGGAGAGTGATGTGGTGCTATCCAAAGAGCTTGAAGTCCCTTGGGATAGCCGTGGTGTTGGTCGGAAGTTTTGCCGGAAATTTTCCAAGTCCTTTATTTAAGCTTGAAGTAAGTCCTTAGATAAATATATAGTTATTAGAATGTTCATATAGATTGTTTTAACATTCGTAAACGATCATTTGGTTGAGTTATGTGCTATAAAAAAATACATTTTTTAATGAACCAAGAATCATAAATCTTCAAAATGTTGTTAAAGCTTCAAATTAATTATTTAAAAATGCCCTGTGGATGTTAGAGAATATTTTTATAAAGGTAAAATGAAGTTTAGAAGCTTAAAATGATGTTTTGGAAATTTTGACCGAGGTTGAAGATGACGCTGTACAAAACTCCCACAGAAATGGTACATAGATACTGTCCAGACGGTACAAAGATATCAGCTGGACGGTAGCGCATACCGTCAATGACGGTAGCTAGCTACCGTCACAAGCAAAATTTCTCGGGCGGTACCTATACTCTGGTATCGATATAGTTATCGTCTGGCTCGGAAATTTTTCCCACAACCTAATTTTTTAGCAGTAAAATTCTATTTACCATTCAGTTATAAATCATTATGAATATCATTTAGAAACTAAATGCGATGTTTTGATGAATTCAAGAACTTTGTTTGATGCATGACATTAAGCTAGGGTGTTAACACTAGATGCTAGACCGCAATTTGTTATTAAATATTACGATGGTTGTTATTGATTATGATAATTGAACCATGACTAAAAGATAAATATCCTGACTTAAATGATGATTATGAATGATTAAGGCTATGTAGTAGAACTGTATGTAACGCCCCGAAATTAGGCCTATCAGAATTAATTAATTACTGAGAAGGACCCAAAAATAAGTGATTTATAAAGTTTGTCAATAAATAATGAAAATTATATCATTATGTAGAGTTTGACTGTCTGACCCCAACGGTTCAATCGGATTTAAATTTGGAGAAAGTTGGACAAAAAAGTGTACCCCGACTAGGACCAAAATTAGTCCCAATCAGGGACTACACATCAAACGGCGCCCTGTTCAATTACGCCGATTCCAAATTCGTCGCTCAATCACGGAAGCTGCAAACCTGTGTCTTCTTCTTCCTCACTTGGCTATATAAGGAGAGCCAACTCCTTTAATTCTTCACCAAAACAACTCATTCTTCCTTCTATCTTGTTCCTTGCTGAGAGTAGAGTGCAGTGGTGCTGTCATCTTTGTGTGAGGTCGTCGGAGCAGTGAGATATAGTCGCCAGAAGTTTCGCCGGAAAATCTTC